CTGCCCATGAATAGCCCACCCGTGGTCACCACCGCACCGGCAGCAGCTCTGCCGGGCACTGAGCACCACCAGGTGGGAGAGCCTCGACCGCCCCCCGGGGATGCACAGGAGTGGGGCAGGGAGAGGGGGCTCACCTGGTGGCTTTCCAGTCATCCTTGATGTTGTCCACACGGGATCGCAGGAGCCACATGGTCTTCAAAACCTCCTTTCCGTCCTCATCCACAAAGCACTGGCCAGTGAAGACAGTGATGGAGTCTGCAGGGACAGGGTAGGAGGTGGAGGGGAGCATGGCCGGGTTGGCAGGTCTCACATGGAGACGGGGAGAGAGCAGTGGGCTTCAGCCCCCAGAGCATCCCCTGTGCCCTGGGACTGGGAGGTGACAGCAGCCAAGGAGCTCCGGGCTCAAGGATGGGAAAGCATCAGGGACACCACAGGGGATGGGAGAGCAGTGAGGACACCGCAGGGAAAGGCAGAGAATCATCAAAGATAATGCAGAGAGGGCAGAAGAGCATCAGGGACACCGCGGGGCGGGGGGCAAGGGAGCTCTGGGGACTCTGCAGGGAGGCTGGGGAAGGAGAAGCACCTGAGAATCTCCAGTTGACAGTGAAGCCGAAAGTGGGCTGGCTCTTCTGGTTGATGCGGTGCTGGGACCCCTGCAGCGGTGACAGCTGGATCTCATTTGTCGTGGCAGTCACGGCCGTGTGGGAAGAGCCGGTGAATTCACCTTTTCCATTCAAAGCCCCGATGGTCATGTTGGAGCCCAGGTCGTTGACCCACTGCCCGGTCAGCACACACTGGAGCGGAGGAGACTCAGCGTTGGTGTCACCGCACAGCCCAGGTGTGGGCAGGGTGGCAGCAGCGGACACCCCCGGCGGTTGCAGCCCCCCTGCCCACCCTGCCCCCTTCACCCCAGCCCTGACGTTACCTTTCTTGCAGAGAAGCCGGGAGCCACCAGGGCCAGGCTGAGCACCACGAGGAAGAGAGTTGTGTGCACCATCTCTGCTGTGTACCTGGGGATGCGCTGCTCGCAGGGCTCTGCCGATGCGCCTGCCCTCTCGGCTTTTTATTGCTGCCCGGGCCACGGTTGGCAGCTCCGGCCAGGGCGTTGTGCAATCTGGGTGTTTCCAAATTTGCAGTTCCCGGCTGTACAAGAGAGTGTTTGCAGGCAGATATTCCCAGAAGTGCCTGCTGAAACTGTCCCTCCTTGTTCACACTTCCTTGGCTCCTCCCGGGGACGTCCCGGCTCCTGCCGGTCAGTGGCTGCCAGTAGGGATGCTCAGCCAGGGAAAGCCCCTCTCAGGGACTGTTGTCCCTTCTGACACCTGTTTGCCACCTCACTGCTGTGCCCGGGGGCCATAGGGGTGCCAAGGAGCCTTAACCCCCAATGCACCCCGGGATCAGCTGCACCACAAAGCCTCACCCCACTCCTTCTTACCGAGCATCCTCATGCAAACCCACCCAGCACTGCGCTCCTTTCAGGTCTTCGCCTTATCGCCCCCTCCCCGGTACTGAAGCAGCCACAGATCAAGCTACAAAACACCCGGTCTCCTCTTACCCAGGCTGGCACGAAGGTTTGCTGCTGTTTTTACAAGCTGGCTTTTGTTGGAAGGAAATTATTTTGTTTATGAAAAGCAAACATTCCCCGAATATCTTGGACGTCAGGTTTTTATGGTGACAAAAATTGTATTTATGCGGGGATTCTTAAATAACTTTCAGTACGTGTTTATATAATTCCCCTTATGTTATAGTTATTGCTGTCCAGGGAGGCTGAACTGGCTTGGTTCACACCAGATTTTCTCCCCCATTCCTCAATGGTTTTCAAGGCAGTCTCCTAAAATATGTGTGGTTTAATTCCTCCAGTCATCACAGCAAGAGCTGATGGAGACCCAAGCACCAGAAAAAGGTCCTTTTCTTAAAAGGGAGAAAAGTCAACTCTTTGCAACTTCTCAGAAATACTGCCCACATTTAATTTCCCTTTAATCTCACATTTGAACCCCAGTTTCTCTCCGACAGTGAAATTCACTGCTACCCAGGGCTGGGATCGTACTTCTGCTGCTGGCATCCTAATGCCCCCCTCTTCTCTCTGCCCCACAGCTCTCTCACACTCCTGCCCACAGGAGCTCCCCAGCCAGCAAGCCCAGGGGAAATTCCTGCCCAGGTGTTTGCTTGCCCTTATCTCAGAAATTACCTGCACAACAAGGTGTATTTTCCCACACAGCCGCTGTTTGCTTTGGCTGCTTTTTTCAGCAGACGGGCACTGCCTGGAGCGTGGCCAAGGTTTGTAATAAGGAGTACGGTCAGTCTGGGAAGGTCGCAGGGGGCAGGAGGAGGGCATTACCCCCTTGCCATCACCCTATCTCCATTACCACCTCACCATCACCACCTTGCCATGACCATGGTTCAGGGAGGTCCCCCAGGGACCTCAGGGCCACCGGTGGGCGTGGGAATGGGCAACAGAAGGTGTCCACGGTGGCACCGCTGCTGACGGCAACCCACAGCTCACGTACAGCCGCAGGTTTATTTTAACATCACACAAACAATATTGGTGCTATCTGCCCATAACCTTTATTTTTCCCGAGTATAACAATCCCTAGCCCAGTGGCGTATCTTGCAGGTGCAGGGATCAGCTCCAGTGCTCAAGGAGGTGGATTTGTCAGCCAGTCTCAGCCCAGTCAAAAATAAAACAAGCCAAGAGCTGGGCTGGCTCCGTGGGGTTTGTACCCTCCAAAGGGCAGCCAGCGAAGCAGCTCGGGGCTGGCAATCATTACCACGGCTAAATCTTGCAGTGCCATGGGGTGGGCAAGGGGATGCGGGCAGGCAGGGAAGAAGTCCAAAGCAGAAAGTGCTGAAGAAGTTAAAAGTCAGGGGGGCTGTGGTTTGAACCCATGTATGTCAGGGGTCGAGAAAGGGTTAATGAACAATAAGAAGAAAGGGTCAATGCATAATTAAACTTGCTGCTCAAGCTGGGATTAAGTCAGCCGTGAAAAATAGTCGTACAGGGAAATGTTAGGGAAAATCCTATCTGTAAGCAAGGACTGTGGTGCCAGACCACAGCCGTGCCTGTGCAGAAGTTGCTGAAAGCTGAGCCTGGCAGAGGCAAGTTTTATTGAGGTGATACAGTCAAAATAGGAGGAAAGAGCAGAAATATTCCTTGATACAGGCTGAACACCCCAAGCTTTGAAAGAAAGTCTGTGGGCAGCCTATTGCCTGGGGTTAAGTAGCGATGCTGATGGGTGGCAGCAATAAAACCCAGCCGGGTCAGAAGCTGTGCTGGCTCCGGTATCTGCTTTTGTCCCTTGCCAGCTGGATCGGGATGTCATAAGACAAATGGTGGAGGGCAGCCCAGGTGATCCACCCTGGTGTCCTGGCACCCCTGTCCCCCCCCAGCCTCGCCAAGGTGATCCTAAGGGAGAGCATCTCGGTCCCTCTCTGCCAGCCAGAGGCTCTGCCACCGGACACGGGCTGGTCCGGGAGGCACTGCATCCGGGACAACCTGCCCCTCCTGGATAACATCATTCCTCTGCCCAGGCGGATGCAGGAACAACCCCACAGGGAGCAAAGAAAAGGCCATTTGTCACCTGCTGGCAGCATGGGGCCACCGCGGCGATGCCCTGCCTGGCACCAGCTCCCAGGGCAGGCAAGGGGCACTTAAGGATTAAGGGTGGGCTTTAGAGCAAGAAGACCTCGTAGCCAAACCTTGTAAAGCAGGCAGGTGCAGCCCTCAAACGCCGCACTGGCAGGGGAAGGAGGAAAAGGAGGCAAGGCGGGCAGCCCTGTTTGCTCCAGAGCCAGCCCTGGGGCAACCACTGCTTCCCCACAGAGGCATTTTTGGGAGGAATGCCAGGCTCCTTGCCTTCCCCTGCCTTGCAGGCAGGAGAGGAGAGAGCCATGGGCAGGTCTCTCCTGAGGAAGGATGGTGGGAGGAAGGCACACCTTGCTCTCCTTTGCAAAACCCTACAAGAGCCAGCCTGCAATTATGGTTTGCATCCTCAACCCTCCCTCCCAGAAGAGGAAGAAAAGGGGGAAGCAACTGGGGCTCCTTCCTCCAGCTTGCCCCCCCCCGGGCAGAGAACACACAAAGTGGAAGAAAAAGTGACAGCTGGACAACTTTATTAAGAACTTAAAGTGATTTATCCTCTAAAACATGCTCCGCTGCTCGCCCCCGGCGCCAGCAGGGAGGGGTGCCACGGTACCAGACCAGGACCTGCTGCTGCTTGGGCTCCGATTGTCACCGGCTGGGGAGCCAGGGCTCCCCTGGGGATTGTTATCCGCCACAGGCTCTCCCGGGGCTGGTGCCTCGGGGCAGAACCAGTCTGCGTTTGCAGTGTCACACAATGGAGGGACAACTACAGCATCCACGCGCCTGCGTGCACCCGTCCCATGTCCTCACACACACATACACCCACACATGTATTTAATTTTTTTTTTTCCCCCCCCAACCTGCAGGCCAGCTCCCACCTTACCCAGCCCGCTGGCTACAGGAGAGAGGTCTCCTGTGCTCCTGGGCAAGGTACCAGCTCTGGTGGAGGATGGCTGGGAGTCCTGCAGGCTGTCAGAGCCCTGAGCGATGGGGAAGGGGAGGCACAGACTCCAGCAGTACCTCTTTTTCCACCCCTCTCCTCTCCGAGGAGTCATACCCACACCTCTGGTCCCCCCTCGTGCTCAGCATCGGTAGCCGGAAGCCCCCTGAGGTGAAGGGCATGTCGTGGACATCGGGAAGGAAAACAGCAGTGTGAGTATTATCAAAGAGGGGGAGGGAAGAGTCCCTGTCCACCAGCCACCAGGCTCAAGGGTGGACGGGGACCTGGGAGGGCTGCTCGGGTGCTGCTGCCTGGCCGGCTCTGCGCTCCAGGGCCAGCTGCATGCTCCAGATGCTAAGGGGCCGCCTGTAAGCCAACGAGCGGTAGACTTTCTTCTCCCGATAGGCCTCCGGTGTCTGGAAAGCCATGCCCAGCCGTTCCCAAACCATCCGGTAGCAGCCCTCTGCTGTACGAAAGCCTTCCTCCACCAAACCCTGCAGCAGAGGGAAGATAACCATCAGCCCATCGATGGAGTGCAAGGAGATGGTACGTTCCTGGGTTGCATCACCGCCACTCACCTCCTGGATCATGGTGGCAGCCAAGGCATAGACCACACCAATCCACACCTCATCGGACTGCACACTGGAGGTGTCGGGCACCCCATCGGGTCTCATGCCATTCACCGCTCCCATGGTGCCACCAGCAAAGCTCATGACGTTCTTCTCAAAGATGGTCTTGAGTGCACTGACAACGTGACTCTTCGGGAAGACCTGTGTACAGAGAGAGGGCCTTGGGTTTAGCGCTCACACAGACCTATGGGGCTGGGTCTCCATAGAGCAGGGGTGAAGTTTTCCATTAGGATGAGGTCAGTACTGCTCACTAGGTAAATAGCCACCTCAGGAAAATAACAGGAAGTGAAATAGCCTCTTTCCCCGAAGAGACAAAAAAAAAAAAAAAAAAAAGCAGTTGCTCAAGAGAAGAGAGGCTGAACTTCATTCTACCTTCCTCCTAAGGAGGCTGATGCCTCATCCAACTGGTGTGTCTCCATAAACAGCCTCTCACCTTTCGTCACTGGTAAAACCCCCCCGATCTCTTGGGAGTTTGCTTTGGAGACCTGGCCAACAACACCATCCTCATCTTAGTTTATGTTCCCCACTCCTCGTTTCTCAGGCAAACAACTATTTGAGGCCCAGACTTTCTCCTGGTAAAACTGCTGTGATGCTCTCTCAGCCCTTCTGCACCAGCTACAAGAGGCACTGCAACGCCTACAAGAGATGGGACACTGGCCAGAGGTGGCCAAAGGATGGTCTGGGATCAGTGAGGCTGGAGGCATCTGCCTGCCAAAGGGAAAGATTATGGCAAAGCCAGTCTGATGACATCGGAATGCATCTTGCAGCTGCAAAGTGAATGTTATGGATACCGGTAGCTTTGTTTGGGTAAATGCTGGGAATCTTGCGGGGGGGAGCAGGGGAAATAAAGTAAAATTCAGCTTCAGCTCAGGGGAAAAACAAGAACAGGGCTTAGTTTTGAGTTATTTCAAAAGGACTTTAATCCTTCCAATTTTGTAATCAGGTGGTGATGCAAGAGTTCGTGGCCTGGACCAAGGTGAGTTTGAGGTGAGAGAAGGGGGAGCCTGGGGACAAAAAGCTTAGACTGAGATGCACAAGATGCCTGATGGTTTTCTGACTCTGGTAGGAGAGATTTGAAAATGTTATCCAAAGTGAAAGTCAAAGACTCACAGAAGGTCAGTAGTACTCGCTGGATAAACAGCAATTTCAGGAGATTACCAGGAGGAAGTAAACCTTCCCCTTCCAATAAAGGGAAAAAAAAAAAAAAAAGAAAAAAAAAAAAAGTT